TCTGGTTTATTGAACATTTGCCATATCAATAAAGATTCTTCATATGAATTATTCAACCACTAGCTTATTTAATCATAATAATTACAAACTGCAGATAATTCATAATTTAGCTCCTGGTGATATCCTTTGAAACAGTTAGAACTCATCCGTTGATGACATGCCTTAAAGAGGAGCATTGCTTTTGCTTGTCAGCCAAGTTTTGAAAGATTTTTGTTTTCATGTAATCTCTTCAAACCATGAGTTTGTGGGAGAGCTAAGTAACTTGCATTTTCAGTCTTTTTGCTGTGAGAGTTTTCTTGTTCTGTTGTCTCTGCCGATATTCTATAAAATGCTTGACTTCTACTTAGTCCATCACATTTATCATGTCACTATTATAAAATCTTTTATTGTTTTCTGGCCTGGCATATACTATTGTACACTCAGTCTGATGATAATTTGAAACATTTGATCTGTCTTCACGTAATTCAGCCTTTATTTTTTTCCTTCAGTACATGTCTTAGTCAAATACATACTTTACTTCACCTGCGGAGGTTTCATTAACCTCAAAAGTGACCTTCCTCACGTCTTTGTGCGAATGATACACCCAATCAGCGCCTGCTTCTATGCAAATATTTTCTGTATGATTTTCGTCGCTTCTTCATGGCAGAATGCTTATTTCAAATTTATGCCCAAACTATTACTCCATGAAAGTTAATGTGTCTTTTGCTTAGCCATACAAAATTTAGGAATGTTCTAACTCCTTGCTCTCCAAACATTTTGATCAAAAAAAAAAAGGAATGTTTCTTTTGCTTGCGGGTACAATCTTAGGAATGTATACATTGATGATTAATCGGTAATATGTTCAAAAACACTCTCTGTGAATTACTTAAATTTCTCATTTTTAGGGTGTTGTCTTAGAATATGTGAAAGCTTGGTTGAGAAAGCACTTTAGCAAGGTGAGTTCTACTGAATGGGGTGTTTGTGTTCTGCGTGCAAAAGATGTCTTTAGGTTCAAGAGAGATTATTAAAGGAGAACTGCCAATGCCTTTATTCTGGATTGGTTTAGATGTATAAGAGTCTTTGTTATCTTACATTTTAATTGTAACCCTATTATTCAAACAAATAATGATCAACCTTAGCTTATTCCTAAATCCATGTTTTTAAGCTCGTATTACTAATAAATTTATTTTATTTAGTATCAATGGCCCGTAACCTTACATGCAAGAGATAAAGATTGATGTACGTGTGGCTCGTGCAGAACGCATGCAATCTATTTTCCGGTTAATGAGTTGAGTGCTTTCATGGACTTTGTACGTAGACATGATATGGTCGCCATGGGAGACTCATTTGTCCACTGTAAATTATGCGCGAAATAGGTGCATCAATTGGAGGAAAGAAGTAGAACTATCACATTGTTGAAGCAATGGCTTTGTTTAGCGATTACAAAACTTGGGTATATCATGCGACAAATTTGAAGGTCTCAGTGAATGCCAGATGCAAGAAGAACAAGAAGATGAAACTTATTTCTCTGATGAAGAAATGGAGGGAAATGGTTGTAGGCTAGCTCTTGGTAACACTAGCCCTGCTGAAAGATCCTCCTTTCTGAGGCATTGTGAAGACAATTCATGATAAGCACATGAATGATGCTAAGAGGCCCATTTATTGAGAATTGCCAACAACACTCCACGCTGTCATGGTTTGTCCATCTTTAATTCAACAATTAAATTTCTAAATAAATGGAGCAAACAAAGTCATTTTACAATGCTCCTCAAGTTTCTTAAAGATTCTATTGCCTCCGGGAACCATATGCCCTGATAGCTGGACGAAGCCTCAAAAGATAATATCTAATTTGGTCATTTTGATGATTTCTTTATAGATGCTCAGTGTATAAATATATTTTATTTGATTTACTCCGGATTAATTTGTTATTCCAATAGTTACAAATCTATTTTAAACCATGTTGATCATTTTATTGAAATATTCAGAAAGAATTATGAGTATTCTCGCCCCTGGATCCTAATCAGCCAACCTCTCAACCGTAATATTGTTTATCGAGGAATGAAGTCTCAGTTGCAAGAGAGAGTCCGGTTTATAATACGGTTGTCAGGTACTAAAACAAGAGTGTTTTGAGGCTGGTTGGAAAAATACTCCGAAGAAGAAAGAGAGGCTCTTTGGCACTACTCAGCGATTTCTGGATTGATAAGAGACTCATGGGCCTTAATTTGTGCGCTTATTTGATTCAGAGGACAAGAAGTGTATATTTAAACTTAAATCAAATGTTTAATTAGGTTAATTATATTTTGCCTTTGTTTGATTTACAATCTAAATATGATAATACAACATGCAGGAAGACAGCAAGACGTAATGCGCAGAATCGGGCGTCAAATTTGCACTTTTTTGTTATTTCCTCCAGGTTTGATTACAGATGTTTGGTTTCCTTCTATATAGTAAGAGCAAGAAAGAGTTTACCAAGCAGTAGACAAATGATCAGTTTCCCTCAAACCTATGCTATATCAAGCACTTTTCACGTTTGATAGGTTAAATCTAATCAATTTTCTAACATATCCAATTATCTGATATAAATATTTGCTATTGCCCAAAATCATTCTCCATGATGACATATTCACTGGGAGTAATTTTTTAGCTAGTTACACCAACAAAGCATTAGTCCTTATCAAGCCTAACCAGATTAATTATTTAGACTACCACTCATCACTGACACAAAAATAAACAGGTCAGAATAAATCCATGGAGGTGGGAAAGAAATTGCGATTAAACTGAAAGGAAAGTAGGAGAAGAGGAAGCACATTGGAGGTGTACATTTCTTTTACGATACATTCATCACCATCACCAACTCCAAAAGAACAGGCATAAAGCAGAAGGTGTAATCAGCACATAGCAAAACCTATGTTTTTAACATGTCGAAACTGGCACACTCGCCAAGGATAATCCCCTGTGAGTCGCTTACCATCTTCAGCACTTTGGAGGTCTTGGCTATGCGTTCGATTTGGCGTCTATAAGTTCTTGCTTACTTTAATGCCGCTATTAAAATTCTCTTATTTATAATTCTTAATGTTTTTAATCGATTATCCACCTATATTTTTTGGGTGATTTGTAGAAGAATGCTCAAATCATTGAGCGATGGTGGCACACCTAACAAAATGTTGAACTTATATTTGGGTACCCATTCTGTCATCAGTAGATTAAGATCACTGCCGAGGAGCTATACATACCCGGGACGACAACAACACTAAGAGTATTGCTGTGTGAAGTCTTCTAGATGAAAAATGTTATACTACGCCCAAAGTTCTGGTTTTTGTCCTAGAATTATGTGTGGCTTCCACATGCTCTTCGTCACATATGTTTCTGGATGTGCTTCTAAATATTGTACAAACTATTGGACACTTTAGTTTGGTGTGTGCTACGTACGTTCTACATATATCGCTAATGTGCTGCAATTGCATGTTTTCATTCCATATATATTCTAATTGGCACATCTAATGGGACACACGAAGGGTAATTGTCGTTCATTCTAATAGCAGCAGATACACAATTGTTGTTGTTTATGCTGCTGCTGAATTTTTGCCTTCCGAGAACTTGCTAATCATTTTCGGTTAGATAGCTTGAGAGTAATTACCCATGGAATAAGCAAGAGTCCTCGTTCCATGCATGCCCGTCCGCAAAGCTTGGTAAATATCAATAGTGATAGTAGAGCGTTACTGCTTGCCGTCGCTTGCTTATCTGGAACATATATTGATCATCAATAAGCCAAACTAAACGTTCTGAAATCCGTACTGTTTAAGAAGTGACGAAGTATATCATTATACCATGGCTGTGGTTTGCAAGGGCCGAATATTGCCATTAGGGACAAAAACCGATACTGACCGACAAATGGGCCATGACTGTTTCAACAAATTTAACACAAGCCATACAACATATGATTGCTGAAAGTCAAAGAGAGAATATAGGCTTTGTTACCTGCGGGAGGCCATCTCTGAGCAACATAGCTAATGCTGAATATTCTTCTTCTTGCTTTGTAGTAATCCAGTATCAACCTTTGTCAGCACCTTGAGCGAATAAAATTCATTGAGCTTGTTGGTTCAAAAAACGCTAGCTTGGGTGCAGGGAGAGTGAATTGACAAGAGAAACTTGAGATCAACAGTACTAGTCCCTATCACAAGTGAGTAAATCTGCTGAGATGTTCCAGCCACGCTGTCGATAAACATAAAGGATGCACATTTTTCCCAAACTTCTAATCAATAGTGTAAAGTATAAGCAACTCTGCTGTGTGTATCTCTGCAGAACACACCTGCTGTGTATCATGCCGAGTGTGTATCTGCAGCAATACACAGCCAGTGTATCTGCTGCCAGTGTATCTGCAGCAGATACACTGCTGTGTATCTGCAGCAGATACACACTGCAGATACACAGCAGTGTGTATCTGCTGTGTATCTGCAGATACACTGCTGTGTATCTGCAGCAGATACACACTGCTGTGTATCTGCAGCAGATACAGTCACATATATGCAATTTGATTTTATTTCTGTATCATACCTTTAGTAAATCATCCAGACTTCATTTGCAATAATCCATATCAAAGATAGAATTGCTTTTATGCTATAATCTTACTTTTATTTTGTTTTTATTTGTTTCTTAAATATATCTACTTTTGCATTGTCGACTTACAGTTGACTACTTTATATTGTGTAGAATCGAGTCATCCAGGAGGCAACCTTATCAGGGGTCGATTCAGCCACAGAGGACGATGCACTTTGTTTCACCCAGATGTTAGATTCCCTGCACGGAGGGCATCACGGCGGTTATGAAAGAGGCATGGGCATTGGTGCCACTCGGACTTACTTGAGGACGTCCTCCATACCGGAAATCGACACTTCTAATCAGGAACTACGTCGCGAGGTGGCTGATCTTAGAGCTCGGGTAGCTGAGATGGATAGTCTCAGGGAGGAGCTTAGGGAGGAGCTTAGGGAGGAATTTAGGTCTCAGATGCATTTGATTACTAACAATATGGTACATACACACTCTCGCATACACATGTACATTGGCACAAATATGCATACATCTTATACACGTAAATATACGCACAGACTTAACACTCAGACATGTATACACTCATACATTGCTACTATTTTATAGGTTAATTCTCAGGGCGCTCGTTCTGCTCCCACTCGTAGTGATCCATCAGCTTTTACGCGACCGGCTCCAATTCATCAGCCCGCTACCGATATACCTCATTCTGCTCGTCCTGCTTCGACTGCAAACACTTCTACTTCCAGTGCTCAAGGTTTGTCACATGAGAATATTGCTAGGATATTTGCAGACTTAAGGCGTTCGGGCTTGTCCCAAGAGGATATTCTTCGAGGAATTTCTTCTGTTCATTGATTGGATGAATTAGACTATTCCTATCTTATATTTTGGATGTATGAGACATTTTGGATATTAGAGACAAATATATAATATTGGATGCTTTTCATTGTGAGATATTGAGTAATTATTGTGCATTTATCTCTAATATTGCATATTGAGTAATTATTGTGTATTTATATATAATATTGAATATTTAGCATCGCTTGAGATATTTTTATGTATGTATATGTTTTTAATTCATTGTGTAAAATGTGTATATTAAATGTAAACAGGTAAATAAATAAAATAGCTGAAATGAAAAAAAAAATATTGAAATTAATAGGCCAAACGGTTAAAACCGTTTGGCCAAATACTTTTCCCAAACGGGTACACTCGTTTGGGACCGCGATATATGCCAAACGGTTTCAACCGTTTGGCATATACTGAGGTCCCAAACGGGTGTACCCATTTGGGACAGCGTTATATGCCAAACGGTTGAAACCGTTTGGCATATATCGCGGTCCCAAACGGGTGTACCCGTTTGGGACAAGTTCCAAACGGGTTCAACCGTTTGGGACTAGTTCCAAACGGGTGTACCCGTTTGGGCTACCGTTGGGGAAAAGTTATCCCCAATGGCTTTAGCCCAAACGGGTGTTTTTTCTCGTCCAAACGGTTATAACCGTTTGGGAGAGGGTTTTCCCAAACGGTTCCAACCGTTTGGGCAGGCCAGTTTTGTACTAGTGTCATAGTAAAAACCCTCTCCCGTAGACGTAGACAAGTTTGTCGAACCACGTAAATCTCATGTCTTAACTGTGAGTTGGTTTTGCTTGTAGGTTCCCTCGACAAGTCAGTTCTAGAACTGATGAGAGGTTGAGCTGGAACAAAAGTTGGTTATTGCTTGTAGGTTTCCTCGACATTCAGTCCTAGAGCTGTTAAGAAGAAGAGTGTATATCTCACTTTGTTGAGATATTTCACTTCTGTTCTTTTTTTCTTTGTGAAACGAGAATATAGATATTGACTTGAGCTTTCGTAAAAACAAAAGTTAGGGCTTTCTCTCGGATGATATCACTTCCTTGGTGTGAGGATGTGACACTACGCCCAACAATTGGTATCGGAGCCATTTATTCAGATTGGAGGTGGTAAAATTTTTTATCTGAGGTGGTGCTTGATTATTGTGTGTTGAACACAAGGTATTTGTTAGAATTCTTGAGAGAAGCAGATTTATTTATATAAGCAGAGAATGACGTCAACAAGTAAAACAGTTAAAGTTGGAAAGTACGAGATCGAAAAGTTCAATAGGAAGAATGATTTCTCCTATTGGAGGATGCAGATGAAAATCTCGTTGATTTTGCAAAAATTGCACAAGGCTTTGGCTGGAAAAGAGAAGAAGCATAAGGATATGTCTGATGAGGATTGAGAGGAGCTGGATCTGGAAGCACGTGCATCGATTATCCTTTGCCTTGAAAGGGATGTACCTTTCTTAGTAGATGAAGAGGAAATGGCTACGGACATGCGGTCAAAGTTAGAAAGCACCTTCATGACGAAGAGTCTAATGGACCGATTCTATTTAAAATCTAAATTGTATACTTGCAAGATGGAGGAGGGCTCATCAATCCGGGAATACATCAATAAGTTTGATAGGATCATATCAGACTTAAAGGATATAGACGTGACAGTTGAAGATGAGGATCATGCGCTTCTAATACTTCTATCTCTACCAAAGTCTTATGAGAACCTGGTGCAAATAGTGATGCTTGTGGGAGACAATTTGACGATGGATGAGACTAGAACGACGCTTCTAATGGATGACCTTCAGAAGATTGCAACCAGTGACATGACTACTAGTGGTACCAAAGAACAAGCGCATAGATTGTTTGCTAGAGAAAGGAGCAATGAGCGAGGAAAATGCAAGGGAGAAAAATCTTGATCTAAATCAAGACCTCTTGCGGGAAGAGCATGTTTCAAATGCGGTGAAGTTGGGTATTTCAAGGTCGACTGTCCTAATAAGAGAGCAGGTGGGAAAAAGAACAACAATAAAACTGAGAGGAGAGAAGGCAAGGAAGAGGCGAGTTACGTCTCGGAGGAAGGGAGCGATAAAGAATGCTATGTTATTACGGGTGACGAAGATACCTCCGGTAAGTAGATTCTTGATTTGGGTTGCTCTTACCATATGTGCCCAAATAGGAAGTGGTTTACTACATATAGAAACATTGATGATGGAACCATGTTGATGGGGAATAATCATGCTTGTAAAATGGTGGGTCTGAGCGATATCAAAATCAAGATGCATGATGGAGTGGTCAGAACCCTGATGGATGTAAGGCACGTGTTTGCGTCGAAAATTAATGTATTCATTGCGGTATTCATTACAACTTCGGTCGTTACAATGAAAACAAAAAGATAATCTTTTTATAAGATCTTTACACAATGAAAACAAAAGTTACAACTTTCGTCAAAACAAACGCAGAGATCGTTTATCGGTCTTCTGCTTGTGTGGGATCTTTGCCTGTGCTGGGGTTTATCCGTGGACCGCCTTTGATCTGGATCCGGTTGATAAAAAATTTGGCAGAGCTTCGTCTTCACCGAGGAAGTATTTGATTTGAATCGCTGAGATTGACCAAGCGAAATCAGGGCTCTTCTCGAGATTAAGACCAAGCCTAATCTCAAGGGACGGACGGGAACGGGCGTCGGATCTCTCGAACTCTCCTTCTTTATGCCGAAGAACTCCCCAAGATCTGTCAACCCTCGCTGAAATTCGTGCTCCTTTGACTCCACAATCCGGCAGCACCTCCTCGTCTTGATAATCAATCGCCCCCCCTGAAAGGAGCCCTAGGTTTGTATTTATAGGGCTTCAGAAACGGTTATTTGGATGAGAACAAGTGATTTGGCTCTATCTTCAGTTAACAACAGCCTAACCACGTTTGGGGATGATCTCAAGCTAGTTAAGAACCCCTTGAACAGATGAATCCTGCGAAAAACCACTTTAAAACCGTCAAAACGCGTTTCGGGTACCAAACTGCGCGGCAGACTGGTCTGACCTGCGCTTGCGCGGGTCGGACAGATCCGACGCTACGCGCGTGGGTCGGACACAGTCGACGCACGCTTTGCGCCGGTTCGGATCAGTCCGACACGGTGCTTGCACGGTCGGATTCAGTCCGACACGCGCTTGCGCCGGGTCAGACCAATCGCGACCTCTTGGCGGGTCGGCTGTTGATCGCGTCCGGCTGCGCGCGGTGTCGGTTTGTTCCGTCCTGCCGGCAAAGCGCAAGGTTCGGTTTATGTCTCCGTCGCGTGCTCGCGCAGGTCGGTTTGTTCTGTCCTGGCGCTCACGCAGGTTTGCACGATTTTTTTTCTTTTCCGTTCTCTTATCTCGAGAGCTTGTCCTTTCGCGTGTTTGGTTCGCTTCTCGTTGATTGTTGCTTTTGAGTTGATGACGCGTGCTACTGATCGTGCGGAAGTGTTGATCGACGTGCACGAACTGATGTGCACGCGCGTGTGATCGACCGCGGCATGAACTTTGATTAAGCGCGCAGGTGTTGATGACGGCATGCGAGCTTTGTAGGCGTCAAAAAAAGCTGAATAGGAATCCAACACAAGCTCAAAGGAAGTCATCCAAAATGTCAAAAAGAACACAAAGTATCAGAGCTGTCTTGCATGCGAGACAGTGCTTTACTGTCTCGCAGCGGAAGCAGACTTGACTGTCTCCGCGCGTGCGAGACAGTCTTTACATGCTCCGAGGGCGAGACAGACTTTTAGCTGTCTCGCCTAACGCGAGACAGTCTTCACTGTCTCACCCCACGCGAGACAGTCTTCTACTGTTTGTCCACTGCGAGACAGTCTTACTGATTCGCCGGTGTGAATGACAGAATTTACTGTCTCGCACCGTGAGACACGGCTCTCCAGAGGCGCCAAAACTACTTTGCATAACCGCCATACGCACAGTGGTCATTAACTGTTCATGACGTGGGAACGTTGTGGGCGAGAATCAACGTTGATAACTGCCAAAATAACGAAGTTTGAAACGTGGGATAGACAGTTACAAAGCGAAAACTACAAGGAATAATTCCTTTCCGAGACAGGTGTTTACTGTCTCGGAACCCGAGACAGTAAACTCTGTCTCGGCCGCCGAGACAGCAAACACTGTCTCGGCAGCCGAGACAGCAAATGCTGTCTCGCGAGCTTGATTTCCGCCAACTGTTCCTAGGGGTTATAAATACCCCCCGAAGGCCATTTTTGAGGAGGGTTGATCATTTTGAGCACTTTAGAGCAGACAGAGCAGAGTTCTTGAGCTTCCGACCATTCCTTGATATTCGAGCTTTGACTTGATTTCAAGAAGAACGACTATCTTACTTTGATAAGATATCATTTCAAATTCTCACTTCGATAAACGAAGTCAGAATCATTAAACCCATCACGATTCAATTAGAATCTGTGATTTGGTGGTCCACGAGTCAAAGTGTTCCCGGCACAGGCAAAGATCCCACGCAATCAGCGATCCAAACAACGATCCTGCGTTTGTTTCTCAAGAGTTGTAATTTTCCTTTTGTTGTGTAAAAAGAGTCTTATAAAAAGGCTATCTTTTTTTTGAATTTATTATAATCGACCGAAGATATAATGAATTCCACAACGAGAGCAACTTTTGACGCAAACAAACTGGCGACCACAGTGGGAGCCAACGGTCTCGCTGCCGAGACCGTCGTGTCGCAGCCAATCAAGGTACCGGTTGAATCCATGGTCGATTATGAATTCGACCAAACCAAGTTTGAGGAATACATCTCATCGTCCTCTTCAAGATCTTCATTATCAAGTAAGTACAAGAGGATCTCATCATTGAAGAAGACCTATACGCCAGAGAAGGCTAAAAGTGAAGCCTCTCATCCAATAGTTGTTGAGGTCATGCCTCGCAACATTATTCTGGCAACCCTCAAGGCCGGAAGCTCTGCTCATGATCATTCATCCCCAATTAAGGAGTCGTTCGATCGAAGTTCGCCAACTCTAACAAAGAGGGCTTGTCAGAGGCGACGCCAATGCCGCGCTCGTCAATTAGCTAAGGCCTTGGAACAAACCGATGGAGTTCGTTATTATGAGGACTTAGAATCGAGGAGGCATCGAGTGGTTCAGTTGTCTCAACGACCAACCACTCATATCTCTACTAAACTAAC